TGTCCGTCTTGCTGTCCGTCCGTTTTTCCGTATGAACGCAATCTTTTTCGGCGCTATTGAAGCTAGAGACTTGAAATTTGGAACACACTCGTGCATATCTCCGATTTATAAAGTGTTAAAATTTTCCCGATCCGCCCACTAGGGGCGTGGCAAATCGGAAAATGTATTTTCCTATATACCAGAAATCATGTTTGTTGAAGAGCTAGAAAGCTGAAATTTGGTATGTAGGTCCGCGCCGACCACCCAAGATCACAAGCTATGGCGGATATATCTCCGCCTATTGGGGGCGTGGCAAATCGGATAAAACTGTATCTCCTAAAGTTATAAACCTGGAATGCTGAAATTTGCACGTAAGCTGATGTTTTAAATTTATGAAGATGGGTGAAAAAATTATATATCTACGCTTACTAGGGGCATGGCAAATCGGACCTGAAGATATAGTGATTTTTCGAATTCTGCTATATTTTAGGCACTATTGATGCTAGAGATCTGAAATTTTGTATATATACGCGGGTTGATCACCCAAGTCCAACGAGCTGTGGTAGATATATGTCCGCCCATAGGGGGCGTGGCAAACCGCAAAAGTTTATATCTCCTACAGTTTAAGAGCTAGATAGTTAAGTTACTGGTAGCCTCTTCTATCGATGCCCTAAAAATAATTTTTAAGCCTCATTAGGGGCGTGGCATATCGAAAAATACCCAGTAATTTTCACGTTTTTTGAGCGTAAGAATTCAAATTTTGCATTTAGGTTACCGGTTGCTCGTTCTAAGAACTGGCTAAAAATAGTGCGTCTACGGCCACTAGGGGCGTGGCAATCGGCGTTTACAGTGCCCGAATTGCGACATTTATATGCGTCAGCCATCTATTTATGCATTTGTACATATAAATAAGCTTAATAGATATTCATAATACGAAAAGAAACATTTTTATGAATTTAAAAATATATAAAAGAAGCTAAAATAACAAAAATTTGCAATTTACAAAAAAGTGTTTTCCGCGGGATTTGAACTCGCACCCAACCCAAACAGCATGTTTGTCAAAATAGCTAAAATAAAGATCGTCGGCTCTTCAGCCTACAGCACCACCGCGTCGTTTCGATCAAGAGTAGTTAAAACGAAATCACAATATTGTTATGACGCCACATAGCAAAGAAACGCCAGTGTAGCGGCTGGAAATTCAAAAACAATGCAAAGACAAATCAATCGCAGCGAGATTCTTAGAATATGCTAGAGTACGCATTTATGTGTACATACATACACACATACAAATGAGCGCGTGTATAAGAAGAAACAAATTTAAACTTATAAAATTATTCGACTAAGAAAATGAAAAGTATTAAGTGCCATTCAGTCAAGCTTACACCTTCCCAATATAATATCTATTTTATAAAAAACGAAGTATGTATGAAAAAAAAAAACATATTAGAGGTTTGAACCTCCCCTACTCTAACAATACTTGCGTCGCCCTTAGCACCTGCGCCACTGCCTTGCTCGAGCAGTCAGTTGCTAAAATACAATAGCTTAATAAGAGAACGTCATCAGACAAAACTACAGTAACGGCTAGAAAGTCCAGAAATCAATCGAAATTCTAAGAATGTGAGAAAAGGGGCACTTTTGTCTGTACGCATAGAATAGACGATGAGTGTGCGCACATGCATAGGAAAATCGCGCTGATCTGCTGTTAGCTTGAAGCCGGTATCCAATATATGGATATAAATATATATCAAAATTGTATAAATTATATATGTATGTAATTTAAATGCAAAAGCTATCGATGATTTTCCAATTTTAATGGCATCATGCCGTGTTTTTTCTTGCGCACTTAACTTGAAAATTGCACTATATACTCTGGTTGATAGCGTTTGGGCTGTGAATGAGTCTTCTGCAATCGGTATCGCCCGACTGCAACGTTCTTGCTTATTATTTAATACAATAGCTTCCATACCAAAAACTTTTAGATGAGTTACCAATCCTCATATGGAGTTTTGCCAATCAAAGCTGCAGTTTCAGCCCTATTGCGTAGATACGCAGCCGTCATTATTGCCTCGCCCCAAAAAGATTCACCAACTCCAGCATGCACCATCATACTTCGCGCCATATCCACCAGTGTTCTGTTGGCGCGTTCCGCCACACCATTTTGTTGTGGAGTGTGGGGAACAGTTGTCTTGTTATACCATGGCTTGATAAGAATTTTTCAAATGTACCGCTCAGGTACTCACGCCCGTTGTCGCTTCTTATGGCTTTTATGCGTTTTCCAGTTTGATTTTCAGATAATTTTTTAAAGTCTTTGATTTTCTCAAATACATCACTTTTATTTTACACCGACATATACCGCGATTTATCGTCAATAAATGTTCCAAAATAACGCGCTCCACCTTGTGATGCCTTACGCATAGGACCACAAATGTCTGTATGAACTAAAGCTAGTAATTCTTTTGAGCGATTTTCTGAAACTTGGGAAACTTCTTCACGCAATCGGTATGTTTTTCTGCAACCAGCCAATTGTCATTGTTACCGTCTTTAACACTTTGTTTTTCACAAAAATTACTTTAAACCCTTTTTCAGTTGCCTTTGACAAAGATATAAAATTGCATTGTAAGTCTTTCACATATTAAACGTCGACCAATTCGATCGTATTATTTTTCCACTTAAGCAACACTGTCCCGCAACCTTCGGTTTCTATGTAATTATCGCCTGCTAGTTTTATTTTCTCTTTGTGCTCACGCATATATATAAACATTGATTTGTCAATTGGATTTTTCCAAGAAAAGAGAACACCGAAAAAGCCTTTTTACTGCTCTTTTCGAACGTTTTTTCGCTTTCGTTGTCTTTCTCAACCTTTTTCTCTCTTAATCTGCACTTCGCCGCGAAATGCCCGTTTTGCCCGCACAACCAACACTTCATGTCTTTCGGGTCTTTCTTTGTCTTGTTTCTTTTACCGTTTGTTGGACGCGACGCCTATGTTGCGCCTCTCTCCTTCTTCCAACAATTTAATTTTTAGAGCGCTAAATGAAGGCAATGTGTCCCGTGTTTCGATAGCGACTACGAAATTGTCCAACTCTTCATGTAAACTTGTTAGTAATATTATTACAAGCATTTCATCAGCCACCTGCACTTGTACTTCATTTAATTTTTCTACGACATTAGAAAAACAAGTAAGAAGACTCTAGTCGAGACCCTGAACCCTCTAATCTGATATTCTAATCACTCTGCACTTCTTTTCGACACACGTACATACACACGCACGTATTAGAGCGCGCTCTGCTAACTGCGCAGTAAGCAGCGACTGCGCTTGGGCTGCGCTGTAGTGTGGGCAACATTATAAGAATTTATTTGTTGAATAATTTGATTTCTAGACGTACAATCTTAATGAAACTCTCAGGGCGTAATCATATGGTGAAAATGTATGTACATTCCAAAGCACACGTCTCTAGTACTTGAAATACGCCTTTTACGAAGGTGATGGTGAGGGGGTAAATATAGGGGTGTGGGGTAAATTACAACAAAAATCGAAATTATATAAAATACATATAAGTCTACATTTAAAATTTGGAAGCTCTAGCTCTAAAGGTGTAGGAGATATAATTAAATAACTAGCTTTCGATAAGGTTTTTGATCGATAATAAAATATCGGGAGTAGGTATCGATATATAAAGAAAAACTTGATATGCGCGTGATATACACGGACCTAGGAAAAAAAATTTCAAGTCTCTAGATCTTATATCTTCTGATATCGACGCGTTCATACATACAGACGGACGGACGGACGGACGGACAGACAGACGGACAGGGCCAAATCGACTCAGCTCGTCGCCCTGATCAAGAATATATATACTTTGTGGGATCTGCCACGCCTCATTCTGCCTGTTACATACTTTTAACAAAACCATTATACCCTGATTTCCCATTTTCAATGGGTTCAGGGTATTCAAATGTTCACGAACACTGTCTGTAGCTGACATTTTAATATACAACAATTGCTTGAGCAACTGTACTTTACGCGCGGGTCCCGAAGGCATGTAGATCTCGGATAACTTTGTCCACGCTTTTCACGCGGCTCCACAGTGCTTAATACTGTTTATCTGCGACGCTTTTACAGACAACAAAATGCTAGCTAGAGCCTTCTCATCTTTGCTATCAAACGACGCTTTCTGTTCCACTGTATCGCTCTCATTTTTCAATAACCGACCACATGACAGACTGACCACGCACTATAGTTTGCACTATCTAGCTTCTCAATTACAAACATTGAACTCATTTCGCACAAATTAGTTTAACACACGCTTTAACTAATAAATCGAGTCTCATATGTGATTTTTCCAATCACCAGCACAGCTTTCACTTTCTGCTGCCTGGGCCCATAACCTATTCGATTCAGAGGTTTATTAGAGACTAAAAATACATAAGAATATATGCCGCAGCGCAGGCAGCCGAAATATGAACTTAAAGCATAAAGGAAAGAATGTCCGTTACAATTAACAGAACCTAACATGAGAATAATGTTAGCAAAAGAGATAGACATTCAGCGGTGTTTACATACATAATTTTAACAACTTCTTTTTAAGAAATCGTTATAAAATCGTTAATTTCAAGTGAAAAAGATTTTTGCCATTCACAATTGAAATATTTTACTACTCATTTTTGAAGATTTTGAGGAAATATGCCATTCGGGAAAAACAGTCAGCCGATTCGTTTAAGTGGATTAAAAGTGGGCTATAATTATGATAAGCACTGTATTATCGCTCAAGGGGACGAGCTGAGTTGATTAAAACCTTGTCTAACTGTCCGTTTCTCCATCTTAACGCGAGCTAGAGTGCGTATATATCTCGAGCAGATCGAGTTTGTTTCCAAAAATTCTTCCATTATTGTTATCGATTCAAAATCTTTATTTTGCAAAATTTCGTTTCTTGTAAAAGTAACTAACATTTGAAAAGTTATATTAAATAAAAATTGCAATTTATTCAATTATATTTAAACATATCCTTATTTTTTTTTTATAGATATTTAGAAAGGAAAGATATGATAAAATACGGAATAGTATTTTGAGCGATATTCTATCATCTATTGATCGTTTACCTTCATCAAAGAAGAATCTGCGCCCATATAAACTTACAAATAATGGTGGAAATATTCAAATGGTTACTGCTCTTGTACTCCAGTTAATTCAGTGCGCAACTATTTTAACGGATTCACTTTGTGAGGGCGGTAAAAATAATACGAAAATGATACATCTGCTTGATGATGATGATGATTTACCAAGCAGTGCTACACAAGTCGTAAAACCTAATCAGGATATCCTTGTTCTAAAAAAATACGATGTCGCAGTTAGTATTGGTGGCAACTTTTTAACAACATTTTTAAATAAATGCAAATCTCGCACCAACGAAACTGACTTCCGTCCGCTCTTTGAAAATTTTATCCATGATCTATTGTCCACTGTTAACAAGCCCGAATGGCCAGCTTCGGAACTATTGCTATCCTTATTGGGAACTATGCTAGTGCGTTACGTATCTGATAAATCTATAGAACAGAGTATTCGTCTTGTTTCTTTGGACTATCTTGGCATCGTAGCAGCTCGTTTGCGGAAAGATACTGTTGAGTCCCGTTGTAAAGTAAATATCATTGACTCCATGATTAAGTCAATTAAAGCTGAACAAGAAAAAGAAGGTGATTTACCTATAGCAAACGTATGTATTATAATATTATAATATTTTAATAATATTATAAAGCAATTTAATAATTATAGTCAAAAATCGAGCTTCATCCCGAAGAGCAGCGTACGGAGTTTCTTCAAAAAATTCTTCTAGATTTTCTAGCTGTAAATGCACAAGAGGAGAATTTAATATGGGACTATGCGCGACATTTTTATTTGGCTCAATGGTATCGGGATATAATCTACCAACGACGCAGAATTAAAGAAGGCGACAAAGGATTTGCTTCAAAGAAACCAAAGTCTCGTTTAAAACAACGAACAGGTAAGCTAAGTAATATGCTGATAATTATTTCTTGTGTATGCAAAAACATGTGCGGCTGCCGAGGTGCAACACGACCATGATACCCAGTCTTATTCCAGACGCGACGAACAGTATCATTGGAAGTAGTTTTAAAAAATCGTTCAACTTCAAGGCGTCCTCGGTGAGCGGTTATTTTCGGGTTTGGGGACAACAGTTGAAAAATACGATTTTTATACTCATTCACGAAAGTGAATCAGTATATTGGTTTTGTGCAATGTCCGTCTTGCTGTCCGTCCGTCTGTCCGTATGAACGCAATCTATTTCGGCGCTATTGAAGCTAGAGACTTGAAATTTGGAACACATATTCGTGTATATCTCCGATTTATAAAGTGTTAAAATTTTCCCGATCCGCCCACTAGGGGCGTGGCAAATCGGAAAATGCACTTTCCGATATACCAGAAATCATGTTTGTTGAAGAGCTAAAAAGCTGAAATTTGGTATGTAGGTCCGCGTTGACCACCCAAGATCACGAGCTATGGCGGATATATCTACGCCCATTGGGGGCGTGGCAAATCGGATAAAACTGTATCTCCTAAAGCTGTAAACCTAGAATGCTGAAATTTTGCAAGTCAGCTAATGGTATGATTCTATAAAGTCTGAAGATAAATTATAAGTCTACGCCCGTTGGGGGCGTGGCAAATCGGACCTGAAGATATAGTGATTTTTTAAATTCTCCTATATTTTGGACACTATTGATGGCAGAGACCTCAAATTTTGTATATATACTCGGACTGATCACCCAAGACCAAAAAGTTTTGTCGGATATATGTCCGCCCACAGGGGGCGTGGCAAACCGCAAAAGTTTATATCTCCTAAAGTATAATAGCTTCAAATTTGGATAGTTGAGTTACTGGTAGCCTCCTCTATCGATTCCCTAAAAATAATTTTTACGCCTCTTTAGGGGCGTGGCATATCGAAAAATACCCTGTAATTTTCACATTTTTTGAGGGTAAGCATTCAAACTTTGCAGTTAGGGTACCGTTATCTCGTTCTAGAAACTGACCAAAAATGAGGTGTTTACGCGCCCCCAGTAGGGGCGTGGCAAATCGGAAAAACCTGTATATTCTACAGTATTAGAGCGAAACTTAACTACTAAATTGTTGATGGGATGTGAATGAGTATTCCGCAGTCGGTAACGCCCGACTGCAACGTTCTTACTTGTTTTTACTGATCTACTGTCAACGCTGCTCGTCCAGATCGGAGCATTGACAATGGCACATCGTAACGTTTTGCATAAGGAATATGTTCTCGTATCCTTTGACTAACTTTTTTGGGTAGGATTTGGCTTACAATTGAGATTTTCGTAAAAGACTTCCAACACCTATACAGATTTCATTTTCCATAGCATCTATGGGACACTAAGCGCACAAATGTTTTCGTAATAATTTAAAATTTCCTAGAATAATTTAACCCAAAAGAGAAGAGGAAAAAATCGAACAGCTCTCGCGAATATCTCATTCACAGCCTAAATGCTGTAAACCTGAATATATTGTGCAATTTTCAAGACTCTAGTGCACAACAAAAAACAGTCGCCTTCTTTCGTGAATTTTCCAGAGTTTACTGTAGCTTTGTGAGATGACGCTTTAGCACTGAAGTCACATATGTTATTTTTAAATGTCTGAGCGGAACAATGGCGGCTACGGTTAATGCGACGCACGTATTAGATTGCGGGGCTAAGATACCACGCCCCCTTCGCCGCCAATTTAGAAGAAACGTATTTCAAGTACTAGAGACTTGTGCTGGAATGTACACACATTCTAACCAAATGATCACGCTCTGAACGTTTCATAAAGATAGTCCAACTACAAGAGAAATTATTCAACTAATATATTTTCATAATATTGTTCACAATGTTGTTAGTTAGCAGAGCCCACATACGTGGGGATGCATGTGTATGTGTGCATAAAAGCAGTGCAGAATGATTAGAGTATCACCTTGGAGGGTTTAGGGTATCTCCTAGCGAGCAGTCTCAACTGGAGCTTTCATACTTGTTATACCCTGAACCCATTAAAAATGGGAAGTCAGGGTATAATGGTTTTCTTATTTATTTATTTGGCCCTGTCCGTTTGTCTGTCCGTCCTTCCGTATGTATGAACGCGTCGATCTCAGAAGATATAAGAGCTAGAGACTTGAAATTTTTTTCCCTAGGTCCGTGTATATCCCGATATTTTATTATCGATTAAAAACCTTATCAAACGCTTATTTTTATATCCATTATATCCATGCTATAATTATAATCTGAAAGATTCATGAAGAAAGTACATCCACAAAAAAAGTTATTAAACAATTAAGTTCTCATAGTAAGCGCACAAGCGCTAAGAATACATGAAACAAAAATAATTTAAGATCAAATTCATACAATTACATACTTTTCACAAAAACATTATGCACCGATTTTATTTTCCGATTTTTAATGGGTGTAGCTTATAAGAACTAGAGTTACTCGACGGATAACGGTTTGCCATCTTTTTCATTACTTTTTGAGGCTTAATTTATTCTCGCTCAATTTACTGAAGGTCGTATACTACGACGCCATGAGCGCACTTCAATTTAAACTCTCATAAAACGTTTTTGTCTATCGCTCATTTTCAATCATATTATCGTTAATTATCGTTTCTTTTGTTAATAACATGGCGTGATCAGTTCAGAGTTACAATATATTAGCGCTAGGGCTTTTGAAGCAGTTTATCGTTACCACAGTGGTAATTTAGTATTCAGGTATTTAAGGAATTTAATATATTTAACTTTAGTGTAAATATTTTTGTATGCATATTTTACCATATACAAGTATTTTTATTTTATTTATATATTTAAATATATCGAAACTGAAATTTTGAGCCGTACTAAATGTGTTTTTCCATTGTTTGGATCAGAATATCTTGTCGAGCACTCTCGACTAGAGTTTTCTTACTTGTTTCTTTTAAATCAAAGATAAACAGAAAATTTTTCATGTTGTTCTTGAGCTCTTTTGTGGTCGTTGGCTTACTAAGATACATTTTTTATTTTTAAAATCACCATAAGAAATAGTCAGGTGGCGTTAAATCGGGCGAACGCGGTGGCCAGTCGAAACCGCCATTTTTCGGCATCAAGCGACGAGGAAACAATTTCTTTTAAAAATTTAAAAAACCAGAACTACATCATACGCTTTCAAGGGATAATTGGCATCACGAAAACGGTTATAAAATCCCGATACCGCTTGACCATCTTCATTTTCGGCCAATAATCATTTTCGCAATTTTGTAAATTTAGCTTGTTTACCGTTTTAACTTGTTTTGTTGAATGTAAATTAAAAAAATTTGGGAGTGCTCGCGTGGCGTGTACTGATTCATGGTAAAAATCTACTTAGACTAAATTTCCAACGCGGTATGTTAATAAGCGATCTGGCTTCTCTGTTTAAAGATATAAGGCTGCCAGATGGGTTAGTCGAATATGGAATATTTAACAAAACATATTTTCTATTGAAAATGGGTTCAGGGTGTTAAAACTAAAATCTGATCTGACGGGAAAAATGTTGAATTAAAATAGTAGCGCATGTGTATCTACGTGTATCAAATATGACATACATAGTATGGTTGATATATTATTACTACGGTGTATGTTTTAATTTAGCATTTCCAATTGTACGGTTTATATGTATATCCTTCAAGATACTACAAATTCAATATATGATTTCATTTTCTTATTATATTATTATTTAAGGTGAATATTCTGATACATCAGATTCTGGATCCTGTGATGAAAATTATCCTGACGACTCTAATAAAAATGGCAATCGACCTGTCGACGTTGTTGATTATGAACTGAATCTTGAAATTTTTAATGTCTTAGAAGAACGAAAACGGTACTTGATTAGTAAAATTAAACCATTTCCAGTGGGCGAGCAAAGCCATCAACACATAAAAACGTATATAGATTATAATAATGCACAGTTGATAGCTCAATATTTAGCTACGAAACGGCCATTTAGTCAATCATTTGATGGATGTCTTAAAAAAATTATTTTAGTCGTTAAGTAAGTATACTTGGTGTCTACTATAACATAATAACTCAATCCCTAACCTTTTGCCCAGTGAACCATCAATCGCTGTGAGAACGCGAGCAATGAAATGTCTAGCAAATATTGTTGAAGTTGATCCTCTGGTACTAAAGCGAAAGGACATGCAAATGGGTGTTAATCAAAAATTTCTAGATACTGCAATATCAGTGCGCGAAGCTGCAGTTGACTTAGTAGGAAAATTTGTTCTTAGCAATCAGGAATTAATAGATCAATACTACGATATGCTTTCGACTCGAATATTGGTAAACATCATTTAAAATTATAATATGAATCAATTATATATAAATATATTTCCTTGCAGGACACTGGTGTTTCAGTAAGAAAGCGTGTAATAAAAATTTTGCGTGATATTTGTATTGAATATCCTGATTTCGAAAAAATACCTGAAATTTGTGTAAAAATGATACGCCGCGTTAACGACGAGGAAGGCATTCAAAAGCTTGTTACGGAAGTTTTTATGAAAATGTGGTTCACACCATGTGTCAAAAATGACAAGGTCTATTTATAATATTTTTAAAGGAATTTATAATATACATATATATATATATATATATAATTTTTTTTTTATAGTATGGTATACAACGGAAAATTAATCAAATCATTGATGTGGTGAACAGTGCTCATGATACTGGAACAACGTGGTTAGAGGGTCTTCTGATGAGCGTATGTGACAGATAATTTTATTTATTTTATTTTAATTTATTATTGTTCAATTTTTTTTTTTAGATTTTCAAACCAAAAGATAATATGGTTAAGCTTGATGGAAGTACTCAGGAAAGTGTAAAAAAAAATACAGAGCCACCACAAGAAATTGTATTAGCTTGCCAGCAATTAGCTGATGGTCTTGTGGACAGGCTAATTGAATTGGAGGACACCGACAATGCACGTATGCTTGGCTGCATAACTACACTTCATTTGCTAGCTAAAGTACGGCCTCAGCTCTTGATTAGACACGCTATGACAATAGAGCCTTATTTAAATATTAAATGCCATTCAGCTTCTGCAGCAAAATTTATTTGTGCAGTGGCTGATATTCTTGAAAAGGTTGTACCTCTAGTTAACAATGCGAGCGAGTCGTTTTTGGCATCTTTAGAAGAACATCTGATGCTGCTAGTAGTATCAAGAAATCAAGCTGAGGTTACAAGTTGTGTTTCTTGTTTGGGAGCACTCGTAAATAAGATTACAAAAAATTTTAAATTGATTCGCGATTGCTTTCAAAAGTAAGTCTAAACTTCTACTTCAAACAAACATAATTTTTAAATGCATTACTTATAGGTTTTACCGTGTTCTGGAGCTGTCTAGAAATCAAGTTGAGCAAAATGTTTTTCATATTGATAATATTTACACCCCTAGCTTTCGGAGAAGTCTATTTACTATTGGTATTTTGATGCGATATTTTGATTTTAGTTCCCCAATAGCATTAGGTAAATACATTTTTTTTTTTAACTCTTTGAAACCTAACTTGAAAATACTTTTAGGTGATGCAAATAACGGACTTCCTCCAACAATATGCGATAACGTATTTGAATGCTTAATGTTCTTTTGTGGTTGCTCCAATCACGAAATTCGCAAACAAGCACTTATATCACTTGGCTCCTTCTGTGTTATGAATGATGATTATCTGACTCGATCAGAGCTTAAACAATTTTACTGTGATTTACTGAGGTCATCCTCAAATGATGGCGGGATTAAAATAATCTGCATGCGAAATATTTGGATTTATTTAACTGAATCTGAAATGTTCATGCACAACAAAGAGAAGGAGTGTTAGTACAATATAATAAAAATTAATAATAATGTTGCAATATTAAAAACAATATCTTCATAGGGGAAAAGCAATCAAAGCATGAAGACTTAAAGGAAATGAATGATGTTTCTTCTGGTATGGCTAGTCGCATCATTCAGCTCTATTTGGAAGAAATTCTCGACTGTTTCCTTAATCGAGACGATGCAGTCCGACTCTGGGCAGTCAAAGTCGTGCAAATTGTTCTTCGCCAAGGCTTGGTGCACCCAGTTAGAATGGTACCTTATTTGATATGTCTGAGCACCGATTTAAAGGTTGAGGTAAGCTAAAGACCTCGCAAATAAATTAATGATGAACTTAAATTATAATGAACTTAAATTTTAGTCAGCCCATAGAGCGGATGCCTTGTTGAAAGATATTGATAAAACATATTCAGGGTTTGTGAATATGAAAGTTCAATTCGGGCTTCAACTTTGCTTTAAGCTACAGGAGATATTACAAAAAAACAATAAGGCGAAAAACGAAATTATACGAGGTTATGCGTGAGTAGATTAATTATAATCGTGTGATCTAAAAATTAAATAAAACCATTTTTGCTCAGAAAACGAGGGCCTGATCAAGTAACAACAGCTTTGAATGACTTTCTGTATACATTACTCCGCACCACAAAACCACAAAGACGCGCGTTGGTTCAGACGGTTACGAAACAATTTGATGATAATAAGACATCATTACAGCAAATGTTATACATCGCCGACAATCTTGCATACTTTCCATACGCGGTTCAAGATGAGCCTCTATACTTAATCCATCAAATTGATTTACTTATATCGATGGCTGGTACACATCTTTTAACTACTTTTAAAGAACACCTTAGACCAAGTGACAAGGGAGGAGACGTTCTTGAAGACGATGATGATGAGGAGGACCCACATGTTCTTTTTAGTCGTCTTCCTGAAGATATGACCGAAATAAAAAAATGTATAACTTCCGCACAAGCGTGTATGCTACTACTTGTACTAAAAGAGCACCTAAAAGAAATGTATGGCTTAACTGACGGAAAAATATCTCGTTATTCGCCGTCTGAACAGAAGCTATATGAAAAGGCGGTAACACGTAGGATCGTCGCAGACTTTAATCCAAGAACCACAATCGATGTGATTAAAAAGCAACCTCAAAATTTTACAAGCGCGGATACTGACTGTTTTTCTAGGAAATTATCGGATGAAGAAAAATTAGATCTTGTTGTAAAATATTTGGATGTAAGTAACTCTAAACTTCAACTTTTTATTTTAAGTTAATATCTTTTAAATTTTAGTTCAAAAAGTTGATGCTTAAACTTGATCCGGAAGACGCTGATTCTGATGCAGATGAATCTCGCGACAAGACAAAACTAAATAATTCCGGGTTAACAGAAGAAAGTTCAACAACTCCAAGTCAAATTCTAAACGACAAGCCAAACTCCGTTTCTATTCCAGCTGTGACTTATTGTAAAATCCAAACATCATCCACTACATTAATGACTGTAAGCTTGTAATACAATTATATTTTCCTCATATATATCAACAAATCTATAATATAGGAAACGTCAAATATCGATACATTGACCTTTCGTACAGCGAAATCGGCACTCTCTCCTGTGAAGCTAAATGCGCGGAAACAGAACCAACAACGCAATAAAAAGAAACGACGCAAAATTATGTCATCTGACGAAGATGATGAATACAGCGGCAATGACTATTCGTGAGATGTTTTAGTCTTATTGGTTAAACCATATAATACAAAAGGGAACAGAAAATATATAAACGACTACTGAAGTTTAGGCTTAAACAATCTTAATTTAGGCATATATATGTATGTATGTATAATTTATTGTCTAAAGTTTAGTGTAAAAAAGTATGTAATAATAACTTAAAAGTTGAATCACTTAGAGTAATCAAATTTATTTTGTAGTATCTGAACTCATCTTAATCAGTTCTGTTGGAGAAAATAATTAAATAAACTAAAACTCATGTATATTTTTTAAATCGTACTAGAAATTAGCTGCTATGAAATATTTTATGATTCGTCATAATGCAATAACTTAAGCTTTCATGATAATTGACTATTGTATTTATTTCTCAACAAATCAACTTTCGATATTCCTATTTCGAGTCATATTCAGTGGTGTAACTTGGGTATGGCAAGTTCGGCACGTGCCATGGGCGCCACTCTAGGGAGGCACTAAATGACACCTCAATTTAGTATATTCAGTGTATATTTCATTTGGATAAAATTCTGGAAGTTCAACAACCCAGGAATTAATCAACCGATTTTTTTATTTTTTTTTTTTTTTTTTTTTTTTTTGAGATTTTTGAATGATGTACTACCCCGCATTGACTGCGTTTAAAAGAGGTGAATTTTCACTCGAGGAAGGAATAATTTTTTCACAAAAACAAGTAAGAAAGCTCTAGTCGGGACTGCTCGACTACGAGATCCCCTGAACCCTTCGAGCAATAGCTATTTCAATAATTTTTCGCGTCTTTCTGCTTACACAAGAAACACACACGCACGCACACACACACTGTGACTTTTTTTAAGCGCGAAAAGATTTGTCACTTTAGGCGTCACACCTGTGCAAATTATAAAAATCAGTTGCATTCACTCTAACAGCTGTTAGTAGTTCTGGAAATTGCAGCGGACAATCAACCGCTCACTAACTTTGGTGATTTGCTAAGTCTTAGCAAAGGCGGCAACCTAACATCTGGAGTGAAGACGCAGATACTAAAAGTAGTGCATACTTTCGGGCTATCGCTGTAGTTAAGTTGAGTTACTACGGTCTCTAAACTCTAATTATATTAGTAGGCAGTGCCCACTACAGGCTTCACGCCGTGGTAGTCGGAGCAAAATGGATGTCATGATGGAGGATGAGCTGCAAGCTTTCGCGCGTCGTTCCTCGTTGCAACTATCGCCACAGCAACAACAGAGGGCGTTGCCGCAGCCGTTGACATGGTTGAGTGCCAGGCACCCTAATCACTAAAAGAAGCGTTAGCTTCTTAGATGGCTTGTCTGCCTTAATTGGGGGTCAGCGGCATATAAATGCCTTAATGAGAGAGTAGCTGGCTAGGCTGGTCACCCTTCAAGACGGCCGAAGCGTTCTGTAACCGATCGGTTAAAAACTGTGAGGTGAAGACCACGCAACTCAAAAAAGTGGCGAGAATGCTAAGGCAGCGAGCATTAGTGCTCCAGTAGGTAGCAATACTCTCAAGCGGTCGAGGGAAGTTTCCTCCGAACAGATCAAAACTCCCTCAAAAAAGCCGAGGCCCAATAGAAGTGCAGCAAACCTAAAAGAACCAGTGGCTCTACGGGCTATAGCTAAAACTTCAAACCGGGTCGGTCGTCAGACAAACCAGAGTAGCTGGACATTCGTTAAAGGACGAGAGCCTATGCAAAAACGTCCCAGAAGTGACGCAATCGCGATTTTAGGCGTGGGTGGTTGCAGCTATGCGGACATGCTTCGTGTAGTCAAGAGCGACCCAAATTTGAAGCATCTGAGCAGCGACGTTCAAGGCATTAGGAAGACAGCTAAGGGGGACCTTTTGTTGCAATTGAGTAGGAAGCCGGAGCAAAGCGCTGAGGCTCTGCACGAAGCTGTAGGCAAGGCCTTGAGCGACCGAGCGGTAGTTAAAACACTTACCGAATCGGCTCAAATTGAGATGCCTGCAATGCGGAGTTGAAGGATAGCTCACTCCCCATTGAGGCTATCAAATCGCTTCGACCGGCTTTTGGTGGACAGCAAAGAGCTACAGTTGCTCTTCCAATTGGAAAAGCCAAAACTCAGCTCGAGCTGTCAAAAATCAGAATTGGATGGGTTGTATGCCGTATCCGCGTCGTGGATCAGCCTAAACGGTATTTCGATTACGGTTGTGGGTATGTGGCAACACAACGAATGTTCTTTCGAATGTTAAGTCATTTAATGGGTTCGTTCGTCGCCAATACGGTAGCCTATGGCTCTACAGCTGCTACCTGGCTTCTAGCATGCAGCTCAGTGATTTCACAACGGCGTTTGACGATCTTGCCGAGGACGCTAGGGGTCGGAAGGCTATTATAGCAGGAGATTTTAACTCATGGGCGCTAGAATGGGGTAGCCACATAACAAATGCCAGAGGCCGGAGATTTTCGCGACTCTAGATGTTGCACTGCTCAACACTGGCCACGAGTTCACCTTCAGTCGGGCTGGATACGGATCTGTAATTGGCATTACTTTTGTCACTTCATCCCTCGTTCGGGAAGCAAAATGGAGCCACTGCGATAGCTATACGGGCAGTGATCATACGGCACTTCTGTTCACAATAGGTGAGCCACCTTCCAGGGCGACAACCTTGTGGAGGGAATCGTATCGGCTGGATACTTTTGTTCCCGCAGCTTTTTCCAAGCATGCCAAATGGTGGCCCAAATACAGAGTGCCTGCAATAGCAGCATGTTACGCCGCAAACAGTTCACGCGACTATAAGAGCCTACGTATTGGTAGAATGCACAAATAGATGACATTCGAAGGAAATGCATCCAGGCAAAAAGAAACTATTAACGGGATCGGGGTAGGTTTACGTTTTTCGAAAAACAATTGGCTTACCAGGTAGCCAGAAGACAGTTGAAGAAGGCCATTCGGGCAAGCAAAAGAGGATGCTTTCTAGAGTTGTGCGACTCAGCCGAATATGACTGTAACGAACCTTCGGTTTATCCCGAGTCTAATTTGGCGCCCGCCTCGGCCGCGCTGCTCCGTTTTGCGTCGCTCCATCACTCGGTGCTCCATTTTGCGCTGATCGCCGCTGTTAACGACGCTGGCAATGCTGTATTCTGCCGGTAAGTAATTGGAGTTGTGCTTTTTTTTTTTTTAATTTCACAAATTTAACAAAAATCCCTTGATTTTCAGGCTGGGCACCTTCTCCTTAATGCCCCTCGACTTGATGGCCTGCCGCTGCCCACGCCGGGCGCTGCTGCAAAACTCCCCTCTCGGTTTTGCAGCCCCCGGTGGCTTTGGCGCACGCGCGCACGGCAATGGCCATTTCATGCATTTGGCGCATGCTGTCCCTCGCCGCTGGAGACGTCTCTCTGCTGATATCTGCCACTCATCCGACCCTTAAGGATGCTCCGGTGGGGTACTGCAGTCATTCCATGCACTGCTGCTAGGAGATCGGGCCACAGACGTCGTTCGCAGATGGACACCGGTGTCAAGTCTTTGGTGTCGGTACGCTTGCTGGCCCCTCCTCTTTCGCGCACAGCTCCAGCACAGCCAAGCTTTTCCGACGCCCAAAGACTCATAGCCGGTGAAGCCAGTCGCGTGGCAGGCGTCTGTAGCCACACTCTCCCAGCAAGCAGCCACATGCTGACTGCATGCCCCGCATACATGATGGGCCGCCGCTGCCTCTGCCCACGCCGAGCGCTTCTGCAAAACTCACCTGTTGGTTTTGCAGCCCCCGGTGGCTTTGGCACCCGTGCGGCGGCCACCTGCTATGCCAACTCCCTCGTCGTCCTCTCCGCTGCTGATGAAGGCGCTCATAATAGCAGCTACTCTCCGTTTGCTGCAGCGTCTCCGGTTTTTGATTGCTGTCGGGAGCTGGCCACATCGATTTCGTTCGCAACTGCCACCGGTGCCGAACTTTGAGGCCGACTGGCATTTTGCGGCACACTCCTCATTCGCGCACAGCTCACAGCAAAGTCGCTGGCCAGTGCGCGAGGATTCGGCCAGCAAAACACGTCTACGCCTCAGTACGGACAACCAGATGGATTCGTCGCGTAGCAGGCATCGATGGTGAACCAATCTCCCAATGGGCAACCCAAAAATATGCTCCTCGTATTCACTTGGAAAACTGCACTCGAGCGCCGTCGGTCCACTCTGGTAACTCATCCACAAGAGGACCGGCCCGAAGTTTTGTTGTTGGCGGTTTTAGATGTCGCCCGCTTTGACATCTTCGTGCGCTAGCGATCGCTGAGCAGCCGACGTAGGCCCTTGACCCTTGCCTACGCTCGCTTGTTCTCGCTTCGCTGTGTGTGTGTGTGCAGAAATTCTTTCGCCTGGAATGCGTGCGGCTTGTTGTTGTTTTTCCGCTTTTCGCTTTCGCTAGAACAAGTACATAATTTCAGCTGCGCGCGTTGTTGTTGCGCCTCTACCGTATATGAGTGCTGCTTGCGCATGCACTGCTTTCTTGTTGTATTTGTGCATTGTGCATTGCGCATGCAATGGCAGCTAAATTTTTCGGTGCAGTACTGTACACTGCTTGCTGTCGTGCGCGCGCAGTTCAAACAAATTGTTGTTGCGCACCCATATACCGTAATTTTCCAGGTGGCAACTGTAGTTTTGCAGCCACAGATGCATTTCGCAGCCGAAATTATGCACTTTTGAGCGAAATGTTTGCCGTCTTTTTTTCCTTCTTTTTTTAATTTTAAATGAGAAGCAATACACTTCGCTATGTATTCACTCCCTTTTTCTTTTGGAGAGAAAAAAAACAGCTCTATTGCTCACCCGTGTCTCCTCTCCACGGCTTGAGATCCGCCACATGCACCGTCCTGGTCCGCTTCTCCGCCTCCGACCTGATCCGGCAGGCCACTATATATGGGTCTCCATAGCGTGGTGCCAGTTTTGCTGAAAAGCCCTCAGCGGCATTAGACAAGTGGCGTTGCTTTGCCCACACCTTGTCACCTACGGCCGGCTTCCACTGCCGCCTCCGTAGGTTATAATGCCGCGCCTAATCCTGTCCAGCTCGCTCCAGGTTTCGGCGCACTTTATTCAGCCTCTGCCCTGCTGCATGCGGCTGACCAGTCTTGCAGTTCTGACACCGCTCGCAACGCTGCACGTACGCCCGCGCTTCCCGATACATACCGGGCCAGTAGTATCGTGCGGCCACCCGAGCAATTGTTTTTCGGCTCCCAAGGTGGCCAGCGGCGACTGCATCGTGGCTCTCTTCCATTAGTTGCTTGCGCCGCTCCGTTGGCACACACAGCTTCCACGCCGTCACACTTTTGTGGCCGGCTTGATGCGGACTGTGCC